TGTTAAAATTCAGTTTTTTTTGGGTGGAGCAGGTCAACGAATTCCAAGATTTCCCTCTATTTGGTGTTCATTGACTTCGAAAAAAAATTCGACCTATTCAATCACGAGAATCTGTGGAGCGCCCTGAGACGCAAGGAAGTCCCGAATAAAATTGTCAACCTCAACGAAGCACAGTACGAGGCTTTCACGCGTAGAGTCCTGCATAACGGAACCTTGTCCACTATAGAGTATCTCAATGCCTTCGATTTGAGTAGAGCAAGCAGAGTAAGCTCGACGACCTTGCCGAACGCTCCTCTGCAGCGGGTCTCCCCATCAATGTCAACAAGACCAAATCGTTGGATGTCAACACGGGCAACCCTTCCAATTGTAAGTAGCGGAGCAATGGAGAAAGTCAAAAGTTTCAGTCAGATCGCGTCATACGACAAGACCAAGAGGAACATAGGTGCACGAATCAAGAAGACTAGGGCTGATTTTGCGAGTTTACGAACTGTATGGAGTCAACGCACCAAAATCTGAATTTTTAGTTCAAACGTAAAATCTGTGTTGTTATACACCACTGAGACGTGTCGACGGCTGCAGATCGTCATCAACCGATACTTGCTATGTATAATTCGTAACTGGTGGCCTCACAACTGAATCTCAAATTCTGTTCAACAGATATTTGAGAACGTATGTGAAGGTGGGTCGGCCATACTCTACGAAGGGGCGGAAACGAAATCGGCAAACAAGCGCTGGATTGGAACCCGGCGGGACACCGCAGCAGAGGCAGACCCAGGGGATCAGGGTGGCGGAGCCTCAACCAAGAAATAAAGGAAGTCGACCGGAATCTGAACTGGACCCAGGTCGACGCCCATGATGGAATTCTTTCACTGTGGCGCTATGCATTACTACACGCAAACCAAAAATATATTACAATGAATGCTAGTTCCGTTTCCTATCATCCTCTGTTCATGAACATCTCAACGAATGTTAGAAATTGACCATGCAGGCGATGTAGTGGTTTTTTGTCTTTTTTATTTCGTGTTCTATCTACGCTTTCGACAATACCAGTAAGCTTGTATAACGACGGACATTGTAGAACATTGTAGAACGACGCACACACTTGCCTCGAATATCTCCAGCAGAAAAAGCATACGAAGTCGAGTATGCGAGAAAATGAGCGATTCATGTTTGCTTTTAGGCTATCCATATTCAGAAGCATGGAGAGAGCAATGGAGAAAGCACAGGTCTGATAATCGGAACGTTCGTGGTTCGAGTCTAGTCGGCATTCTGTTTCGATTTTTGTTTCGACATAACTTATTTTCCTCACTAATACACTCTACATTTTTCGGTCTCCAATTTTCTTGTATTGGACCGCAGCTAGGTATATCGCATCCTCGGTTCATGCGGTCTCCACCAACATCCTCTGATGATGAATCCCACATAATTGTAAGGGAATCTTACATCCCCCGGTTGGGTGTAGGGGTATGTAGGATACGTGAGAGTACCTTGGGAATCTCCTCAAAATTCCTTTGAAATTTTACTATAAAATTCCCTTCATAATGTCCCAATTTGCTTCAAATTCCTTTTCAATTCTTTTGGAATCCTCTTTTAAATGGATCACATCATACGAGCAGTTTAAAATGACGTTTCCTACCACTCGAACTTTGTCGCGGAACAATATTTCGAAAAAAAAAACCTCTAGAACCTCAAGAAAAAAGGGTCGTATTTATGCTAAGCTAGAAAAATCAAGAAACTTATTGCTTCATTTTCATGAAATCGCTGGTAGAAGGTCGTCCCAAAACTGCTCGACAATATGATTAATTCCATTTCATTCATCCATTGGAAATTATCATAGACTTCTTTTGGGAATACCCTTGAAACTTCCTTCGTAAGAATTTATGTTAAATTCTTCACAAAATTCATTTGAAATTCTAATCACAATTCTCTTAAAAACCCAATTCAACAAATTGCCCTAATCCTGGGGCCTCATTTCGGAAACCGATGCGACAAACTTTTTCATACAAACTTTCATACAAAAAATGCTTCGTTTAAATGCGCAATGAGGCCTCTGATTTGTTTATCCAAGACAAAAAGCCTTAAAGATTTCCAAGGCTTACAATAATGATTTTTTCTTCAAATACAGTCAACTCTCCATAACTCGATATTGACGGGACCATCGAGTTGGAGAATTATCAACTTACAAAAAAGAGTTTGATCGTCAATAAGTTAGGAATAATCTCGAATCATAATATCTGTAATATCTGGCACTATTTGGCCTTCGAAAAACGGTTCAAGAATCCGTTTACGGATGTTCTGAGTATTGGATTCATAATATTGAGTCGATATGAATTTATTTTTCAAATTATTCAAATTTAAATCGCAATATGAAAAATTCTGTATCATGATAAAATTTGGCCATTTGACCCAACCCAATACTCGACTATTAGTACAAGACACTGAGGAAGTCTGCACATTGTAGACGAAATACGCGTATCTGTCAAGGACAAGTAAATAAGGTAGTGGAATTAAATGGAAATTACTAATCCTTCTCTCGCACTCTTCTGTTTAACTTCAGCATACCTTAGGGGCCACTGCTAGTAAACTCTACAGCAGCACTGTCAACGTGCGGCCGGACGTAGTCTCTGGATCTCAGCATTAATTCATCGTTATGAATTTTAGCCCAGAAAGAATAAGAAATAAACACAATGCATCTTGAAACACGTTTATCGATCAAAGATACAGCCATTTAATAAAAATATCAAGTTTAGAAAGGTTGGACAGGCTTGCTCTACAGCATTCAATGTCACCTTGCCATATTTCTTCAACTTCAGCTTGATAATTGTCCAAACATTTTCAATTGGGTGGAATTTGAGGCAATTGGATGGGTTACTATCGTTAACTATAAAATCTACTCTGTTGTCACGATACAACCGAAATACTTCCTACCAAATCTGGCCAAAACCTAACATGTTCTTTGTTTGTCTTTGTGGCGAAAACCTATGTTTTAGCACCAAACATAGGACTGCAGTACGACATTTCGTGAGCTTTTCGCGGAAAACAAGATTGCTCGCTGATTCGCAAACAATGTTGCATACAAGAAATATAGAAACGTCAAAGTGATGATCCAGAATGCCCTGCACAACTGTAGCGCCTTCCGCAAACTTCAGGAAACTTGTTCCGTCTTTGTTGCTGAGCTGGTAGCAATCAACTTCGCATTGGGGATGATTTCCAACATGCCCGCAGACCATTACTTCATCTTCTCGAATAGTCTCAGTTCGATTGAGGCTATTCGGTCTATGAAAACAGGTAGGCACTCATCTAGTCTAGTATGATTACCTTTGTATGGGTTCCCTCATATTTCTCAATGAGAAGGCGGATTCTCTCGCAAAGGTGGGCGCGCAGGAAAGCGAATTTCATGACAGGCAAATTTCACACGATGCATTTTACCATTTTGTGTGTCAGGCTACCCTTTCGAGTTGGCATACCGATTGGGACACTGGAAATCTTGGACGGTGGTTACATTAAATTATTCCTAATTCGAGACCGTGGTTCAAAGGCTTGGACCTAAATCGTGACTTCATTTGCGTGCTGGTAGTCCAACCACTACTCGCTAGATGCGCATCTCCATATAATAAACATCGCGGACAGCAACATCTGTCGGTGTGGTGCGGTTACAATGACATCGATCACGCATTTTGGCAATGTACGGATAATGACGCCGCCAGAGAGCGACTTTTGAAGACCCTCGAGGGCCAAGGAAGACAGCCCTATATCCCTATCAGAGACGCGTTGAGTACACGCGATCTCTGCTATATACAGTCGATTTATGTATTTCTAGTATAAGAATTTCATACTTTTCTCCTTTGTCTCTCTTTATTAGGTTTTGTTTGTCTCGATGAGTCTTATCGTCGCCCACTGGTAACCATAACCGGTCAACTCCAGACAAATCTAGAACCACACTACCGTTCATGCTGGCGACATCGCTCTGATGAAACAACGAAACCCCACCCTCAAGTTCCTCCCCTGATCCTATCCTTCGACAATGTACCCCTCTAACCTCGGGTAAGCCACGAGTATTCGGCCCAAATCCTACTAGACATAGAAATAAGTTAATTTTGTTACAAACAATGAACAATGAATTATCGGCTCCGTAAAGCTAACACGATTGATCCTTTCAAATAAATGAACTGGAAAAAAAAAATTCTCGTGCCGTGGCCATTTTTATCTTTTTGTTTTGTTTTCGCCAATTTTAATGTGTCCTCGCTTTTTGGGCCTGATCGACGATTTGTGCAAACTAAATATTCTTCTCTCGTCTTCCATCTGGCATAAATTTTTAAAATCAATACGAATCGTGAATAAATATTCAGCACTGTATGAGGAGCACTTTCAAAATACTCCAAAACCGACGTCTAAGGGCGCTACTATACAATAAATTCCGCGTTCTGATTCTAACTGAAGCAAGCCTAATGGTTCTAATTATGCCTAGTTGGGTAATTTTGGTAAGTCCGAAAAGCCCCGTCAATACCGAAAAAAATGCTTTAAATTTTACGGAGTTGAATCTAAACCAAGAAAAAAATTTGAACTGAATAGAACGCATTCATTTGCATGATTTGAACATTAACAGCATTGTAATTAGGTACTAATAATAAACGCAATTTAAAATGTGCATACTTTAAACAAAGAAGGATAAGAAACAAATAGAAATCATTAGAGAAAACAAAACAAAAGAAAATCCTATCAATTTGCACACGACACCAACATGCAATCACAATATAAATGATCAGGTTAGTTACATGAACATGACTCCAAAATCTACTAATCGATTCAACGTATGACTGATGAACGAATGCAACGGAAAACTATATGGTCTTTTTTTTGTGTGTTTTTTGGATGGAAAAAAAATGGTGAACAATGAATAATCAAACAGTAATATAAGATGAAACTTGATGATGCATAAAAATGGTTTTTCGCCAAGAATGGAAATCTGTGTATAAAAATTGTAAGAATTCAAGTTATACCCGTTATTGTTAATATTAAGCCCATTTTGCGCTTGCTGTACACTATTCTCTGATGCTGACCTGCTTAAACTGCCAGCGTCGTGATCTGGGTGATCATCGCCGTGGTCATCATGATGGTGGTCGTGATTGCTTCCGTTGGAATGTCTGTAACTCGAGAGACTGGTCACGGGTTAGGTGTGGCGACTGACATGCAAACTGTAAGTAACTGTGTGTAACTTACCTGGAAGACCGCTGCCCGTTATGTATCACCCGGTTCGCTTGTGGACTGTGTTGGACGATGGTTTGACTGTTGGCTTGGTCGAGCAGCTTCTGATACCTCTGCAGTTCCATTCGCAGTTTGTCCAGTTTGTTGACCGATTCGTTGAGTTGGTCCTCGACGGACCGTGGGTCACCGAGCAGCGAGTTAGCCTCGTATACTCCCTTCATCTTCATCAGTCCTTCGCTGGCGGCTTGCTCCTGGGCTACCTTTTGCTGTAGTTCTTGCACCTTCTGCTGTAGCTTTTTCCGCCTCTGCGTTGGCGGTAGGTCACTGAAATCTTCCTTCATACCGTCCGTGGAGAGGTTGTTCTGAAAGGGGACAATCACAACGGTTCAATAGTGGCGGTGGGATGCTACGCAAATCTTGTGCTAGGAAAATCAGATTTACAAGAGATTCTTTTCATGCAACAAGTGTCGTACGAATTTTACTCATAGGAACAAGTGGGTGTTATGAAATCAATTAACACAAAACGTCACACTTCAAACAGAACTTCTACACGGATTCACACACACGCACGCAATTGTTGGGAAATTTTGTTAGTACTCAGACCTATAGATACCGAAAACGGGTGAATTTAGAACGACACCAGTACACAGTTGCAATCACTCAAGTACTTCTTTCTTATAGATCATTCCAAAGAAAACAAAGAGGATATCAAAATCACGGTTATCGAATATTAGCATACCTTCACTTGGATGCAGGCTTCAACAATCTTCTGTTAATCATTTATTTTTGTGTGTGCATTTCGTTTCAAATTTACATCAAGGTGGATGGAATTTGGAATTTTGAAAACCGATTTTCGGTTTGTTTTCGGGCCCGAATTGTGGATTTTTGATTTTGGTTGGTGTTATTTATAGGTTTTGAGAGCAGCAGTTCACAGTTAAATCAAAACACGATACGGTGATTTGGCGAAAGGTACGACCGCAAAGGAAAAGAAGAAAGCAAAAAGAGACACTATTAATCATACGGATATACGGGTTTTCAAGATTGTCAATTTATACACTCTTTTTATTTTTATTTTTTCAACAACGACAACATCTAGTACAATGATTTATTGGAGTGCTGAGTTGGCGGGTGGTCTATAACTAGTTGAGTATACAGAACAATCAATATGTGTATAAGTTCTTGTGCAGGGTAGTAGCCTTTGTGACGGCAGCAGTAGTAGCAGTTATAAGTGATAGTGGTGTTGTAAGAGGTGACGTTTGTCGTTTGCTTATGTTGATTTAGTGTGATCTTGGTTGAGTGCAAGAAAAGTTTCTAGCGAGATGTATCAACAGGGTTTGGAATTGCGAAAAATACAGCTCCTCAAAACATAGGATTTTAGTAAATCATGATGAAAAGAAGTGCGTAATATATATATTGGTTAGCGAAAAGGCTCATCGATGCCTCATCTGATCCACCACGTAGCTTTTTCGGGGACGAAATCTCATCATCCAGAAGTCGTGTAGATGTAACTCGATACTTGCTCTTCTGCAACAAACACTGAGTAGCATTTTCAGCTTCGCACATTAAGTAGATCGACAGTTGTGAGCCCGAGAAAATACGCAGTAGTGAAGCAAACTATATGAGAAAAGGCTTCGATGGACCATGACCTTAACGAATTTTATCCTGATCAATTTTGAGGTAGAGATGAAGCTCCTGGGAAAGATCACTGACATTTTGTTTTTAGATCTAACCGATCGAGAGAGAAGCTAGAGCAAGGTCAATGAACGTCAAGAAACAGCGGCGTCGGTCCACTATACTACCGTCTCTCACGCCAAAGGGCCTGTGTTCAATCCCAGTCGGCGCCGTTAGGATTTTCTGAGGCATAAAATCTTCGATCAGTAAAGCCGTTGGTCCCCGGACCATGATTCGATGGATCGATAGGTAGGGTTCAGTTTGTGGGCGCTGCCTCCCTGGCGTCGGTAGCATTGGTACGCAGTACGGAAAACATGATCGACGGCAAACAAATCAAGGGAAGAGAGAGTCAGAGCATTTAACAATAATCAAAACCAGTGTTTTCATTAGTTGCTCAATATTCACTTTATTCCGCTTAGAAATTCCTAGAATCATAATAGACCTTAGATCTGTTTCAGCACATGCTTTTTGGTTTTGCAGTAAGTTGCTACAGCTTTTTGTAAGTTGCTGTAAGACAATAATATGGTGCAGAAAGTACGGAAACATACTTTTTTCTTTTTGTGCACATAATCTTACAGAAAAGCAAGTACGGTAACATACCTATTTCTTAAAAACTCTTTTCTGCTCCTGGGATTCTTTCTGGAATTTAACTTAAAATAATCAGAGTTGATTGGAAATTCTAATATTAGCTAGAGAATGGTCTTAGAAGAGGGTAGGTAGGTATCTCCTAAATAAATTAAAAAAAAAATGTAGGCAGGGTAGAGAACTACTTCGGCCTATTCGCCCTTTTTGGGCCAATCGAGCAGAAAACTTAAAACAAATCCATGATTTCAGAGTTCACAAGTCAATTATGCGTTTGGTACGATACTTTAGCTAATAAGCTACCGAAGGAAGTCAATGAGAACGCGAGATATGAAGGTTTGCACCCATAGTTCCCAAAAACAAAAGAAGCGCTCCGATCGAATCAATTTTTATCTTCATCCGATAGGCCGAAGTGAATTCATTGGCGTGTCAATGGCGTTTCAATGCGTTAGGCCGAGTTTAAAATCCGTAGGCCGAGTTTGGCGTCAAGAAGCAATGTTAGACTTTTGACAATATCTCAACGATTGGTTTCTCTTTATCAAATCTTATGGTACGTACGGAAAGGTAAATAAATTTGGAAGCCGTCAGCAACAAAAACATTCCATTTGGTGCTAACTGCGGACCTGCCGGAAATGGGGTGGTTAACGCTAGATAGTTCCATTAGAGTACAAAAGTATGAAAATTGAATAGAAGTTGAAATTAAGTGAAGGACCATTAATGCGACAATACAAAGTCAAACGCACACTTCTTTGCCTAACCCGTACGATGTACGCGGAGATTTGAAGTATGTCTACACTAAAGCTTCATGTTAGATAGCATTTCCAACCAACTCTGAAAATCGCAAACCTCGCGTATGAAGTAACATAAAACACTTTGAATGTATAAATTATCACCATAATTTTCTACGAATACTCCAAGATATCGTTTGTGTAGTCATTGAGGGGTGGCAGAAAGAGGTTTAATATGGGGTGAAAGACTTGTGAGAAGGACGTGGTCTACGGTCGAGAGTTTGAGGAAAGGATTTTAACCATGTTGACTTTCCATTGTCTGGCAAACTACAAATCTGAAGGTTGAACATACAGAGCATAAGCTAAGTTGATCGGAATTGAAAACATATACGCAAACTCCATTTAATTTTCAATTGGTTGTGATTTTTTTTATTGTGGTAGCAGTATATACTAAGGACCGTGTAGTCTACCGTAGTTTACTATCATCATCGATGCCCGTAGATGACCGTCGTTACTGTCCTACGACATGGCTAATCGTTTCAGTAACATGCTTTGAAGGTCAGCAAAGCTCAGAGTCAAACCCTAATGTCGTCAACCAAAGTTGTAACTGTTACTGTACCTGTAGTGTACCGTATGCAATGCAAGCACCGTCAACCAGCCACGAGGGCTCAAATGCTCGAATCGAAAAAGCTTATTAGTTTTGAACTTCGCAAGGCTTTGAAGCGAAGCGCACAAGAGAAAGAGAGAAAGTGAAGATAGGTAAGAGATAGCCAGGAATGAAGTGAAAGAAATAAAGGTAACTGTTATATGCAAGGTATTCCAACATTTTTTTTTATAATTACCCTCAGACCTTTTTGAATTCTCCACAGAATTGCAATCGAAATCTAATCAAAACTTTTCGGAAAATCGCCTTGAATTATCTCGTCCACATAGAAACTAACCATAAGAAGTGTCTAACTGTCTATTCGGAATATCATCCCAACCTTATGTGATATGGCTGCACCATTTCTGATATCTTTCGTGCATGGTATTCGTTTTTGTTTATAAGAGTAGTATGACATAAGAAGATCTTTTGACTTCCCTTCAGAACTCCCTTGAAAACCACATAAGAATTTTCTTGAAAAATTCAAGGATCTTGTTGGACTATCCTGAGAATATACATGGAATTGTTCTCAGATTTACTTATAGAAATTTCTAAACTATCCTTCGAGTTTTCGTGCAATTCTCCTCGTACAAAAGCCTATGTATCTTTCCTCAGAATTCCGTTAGATTTCTCCTCAGAACTCCTTTGGCGCTCAACATTAGCTTCGTTTGAAATGCATCTCGGAATGCTTCCAAAAATTCTGGGTTCTGCGCGGGATTCTACTGAAAATTTCTTCAGCATTCGCTAAGTATTCTCTAAAAATTTCCTTCCTGCTCCTCAGAACTCCTTTGAAACTCACCATAGAAGTTCATAGAGAAAACCAAGAATTTCTTAGAAACTATTATCAGAATGTTTGGATTCTGCTCATAATTGCCTTGTAATGTACTCAGAACTCTTCTAAAAAACCCTTGAGTCAACGATGAAACAAAGATTCAAACGTCAATTAATTGAAACTCGCTCGCCTATGCAAACTAACGCTACCATTCATGATGGGGAATTTTTACTCTACCTGCCGGTGGTGTTAGTTTGCTTGGACAAGCTAATACTTTCGACAAATTGACGTTCGAATCTTTGTTTACAAAAGCAGATAACTTCTTTGACTTAGCGAATTCTGAGAGAATTCAAGGGGATTTTCTCTACATATATTCTTGGAACTATTGATCAAATAAGTTCAAACGAATTCTCTTAAGAACCTTCTCCCTTCAGAAATACACATCAAAATTTTCTTCAAAAACCCAAGAGTGAGAATACAAGTACAAACTTGAGAGCTTTTATAGTATTGATCTCAGATTTTCTTTTAAAGTTTCTTCAGAGTTTCTTTTGAATTTTATAATAAACTCGTTGAATTTTCCTCAGAGTCCTTGTGCGATTCTTCTCTTTGTAGCATTCTCCTCAGAATTTCTATGAACCTCAACATTTGATTCCCTTGAAACTCATATCAGAATTCCCATGGATTGTTGCCAGAATTTCTGGGCTCTGCTTCGTCTGAGAATTCCCTTGAATTATTTCCGGCATTCACTCTAACAGTTTCATAAGAATTGCCCGCAGAATTCTCATGAAATACGCCCAGAAATTCATTCGAATTCACCTCAGAACCTCACGCAGAACTCAACACAGAATTTCCTTGAGTAATTTAATAATTCGCTTGGAACTACCCACGCTTTGTTCAGGGTTTTCATGGAATGCAACCAGACATTCCACAAATTTTCTTCAGAATTCCCTTCACATTCTCCTTGTTTAAAATCACTTGAAACCTATTCCAGAATTCACTTGGAATTCTGTTCAGAAATGCTTTGGAACTATCATCAACATTTGTTTCCTTTGAAAAGTTTAAAATCTCGATTACTTTTTTCGAATGGACGTAGGGGAAATGACGGCTTCGGCATGCCAGACTATTTTCGGCAACCCAAATTGAAACACTATTTTCACTGGATTTTCTTACGGAAACACTTCGCTGAATGCATGCAAACGATTCTTTATGCTTTCAGCTTCAATTTGACTATATTTTTATCACTGAGAAAAAGCAATCTAGCAAGGTTTTCTTGAAATGAAACACACGCACTACAAATTGTAGCTGATTTCGAGTTGCCGATAATAGAACAGCAGATTTACATGCAGTTCAAATGGAACGGTTGCCGAAGAAAA